GTCGTGGATATCCCGGGCGGTCTCAAGCGCTGCGGTGGTCAAGGCGACATCCTGAGCGGTTCGGTCGGGACGATCATGGCATGGGGCAAATGCTTCGAGAGCGGCGCATACGGGTAAATCCTGGTTCGACGTTTCCCCCGTGATGTGGAATACTGACCGTTGCTTCCAGTGACGGATCCATCCCGCCGTCCCGCATCCCGCTCCTTGCAGCAGTGGGCGGCTCCATGGTCACGCGCACGACATCGCGTCGCGCGTTCAGCAAGCACGGAAGAGGTACGTGGGGTTTTATTTTCTCCGGAGACCTGGCTGTAGGCATATGCTGATTGGGTACCACAGGGGTCGTTACTCAGGACATGATCCCAGAGATTGGAGGCGCGTTCGCAGAGATCTTCGGTGAAGGCGAGAAGGGCTGGGGTGCGTCGACGAGCGAAGGCAAGCTGTGAAAAGTAGCGGCGATGGAGGAACATATGGAGTGCACCCAATGCTTGTATAACATGACCACCGGAGCATCTGTATAACATGATACATCCTATCTTCAGAACCGCGACGCGACCAACTGGCACCCAGCCCGGTACCGTGGCGTGAGCGGCTCACATACCTTCGCGCCGATCGCAGCAGCGCACTTGCGATACAGAAGAGTCTCAACTAGACATAAGCCGTAAACCCGAGACCAAGCTGTACTTCGAACTTCACGAGGACGCCAGTGGAAGCGACTCAGCAACTGGGCGCTTCAAATCTTTGGATGAGCGCGTCGCGGATCTCAGATCGCCTTCTGTCGCGTTCAGCCACCGGCCCCTCTGCACCCTTGGCAAACACCCCGAACCTGATCAGAACTGCGTCTGCGGGCTGGTTCGATGGCGCGTTCAGACATAGCGGACGACGAGGTAGACGAGCCCTGGGCATCCTCCGGTCCGTGCTTTTCATCGGTGCTCCTTTCCTTGCTGCGTCCTGAATGGACCCGGTTATATCCTTTGCAGACGAGGACGCGGAGGGCTCATCAGAGTACGAGTCTTCCTCCGAATCAGAGGAGAACTCCTCAGAAGACGAACCCATTGCCGGTCCTAGCGGCATACATGGCACGCAAGGGCATAGCAGCAGCACTCAGACGCGCGAGGCGGAGGCGGAGGACGCGCGGGTGGAGGCGGCAATCGAGGGCGACTTCGACCGACTGATACAGAACATCCGGGAGGCGGGGGACGGGTCGAGCTCGGGCATGCTCAGCAAGATGTGGGACATGAACCTGGAAGAACAGGAGGCTGAGTTCAAGGACGACCTCCGCGCGGCGTCGGGAGTGGGGCGGACGAAGAAGAAGGTGAGTCTGACCCTCTAGTTGAATATATGCATTTGTTTCATGGAATGATTGTAGCGCGGAAGGCGACGCGGGCCTGTCCTGTCTCAGCAAGTGCGCGCGCTCATAGGAGAAGGCAATCAAGCGTATGTCGACGCCAATATCCCGGAGACTATCCGTATCATGCAAGAGGTGATACGCATCGAGCCCCGCGCTGCCGCGGCGTGGAGCGTGCTCGCCCAATGTTACGACGACATGGGCGAGCGTGGAAAGGCACTCCAGTTACGCATCATGGCCGCCCACTTGAACCACGATGCGGACGAATGGGGAGAACTCGCGCAGCAGTCAAGGTAAGCTCCAGAGGTCCAGTGCGTCTATCCTCTGCTGACGAGCGTGTAGGGCGCTCGGGTACAACCAGCAAGCACTATACTGCTACGGCAAGATGTATCATCTAGACCCGACGAACGTGAATGCGCTCTGGGATCGCGCTTCCCTAGCCAAGGAAATCGGAGACCTCAAGACCGTATGTCCCACAATTCCCTCCATCCGCCATCCTCGATCTGACACTCAACACCCAACAGGCGCGCTCGACGATGCTCGCCATGCTTAAACGGCTACCGCACCACCTGCCGGTGCTCGACGAGCTCCGCCCCATCCTCATCGAGCTCTCCGACTTCGCGCTCTGCGCCCAGCTCTTCCAGCGCGCCTTCAACCACTATCACGCCGCTTTCCCCTCCGGACGGGGCGTCGACCCCGAGACGGGCGCGGAGGTCCCTGGGGGCGGATTCGGGCTCATGCACCTCCTAGTATTGGCCGATCTGTACAACACGCTCGGCGAGTACGCCAAGGCTATCGACACGATCCGTAGGGGGTGTCGGTGGCTGCAGGGGCGCGCGGCGCAGAAGTTCTGGGACGCGTGCGAGGACGATAGGGAGTGGGACGTGCCTGAAAGTTCAGTGCAGCGTGGAGGCGAGGGTGAGGTACAGCCGGGCATGTACCCGTTGGACGTCAATGCTCGGCATCGACTCGCTATTGCGCGGATCAAGGGCGGCGACGTTGAGGAGGGAAAGGCAAGTCGTACTTTGCTCGCTTGCAGGCTATACGGCCCGGCTGATATTGTGTTACAGATGCATGCGAAGATCGTCCTGGCTCAGGATGCTGCAGAGTATGCGCCCTTGTTCTCGGAAATTGCAGATGCATATTTCGAGCGGGAGATGTACGCCGAAGCCGGCCACATCTACGAGATGCTGGGCGGTGATGCCGGCGTAAGTCAAGTAGCCCACGTACATGTTCAATGACTGCTGACCCTTGGTGCGTAGACGAGCAGCATGTATGTGCTCCTTCAAGCCGCTGCGTGTCGCCGCATGATCGGCGATTTGAAGGAAGCGGCGGAAGTGTATGAGCATGGTGAGTACCTCATGCACGCTACCTTGAACATGTTCTGAAGTTTCTTTCAGTCATCCAAGCAGATCCTGGTCATAACGAGGCCAAGATGAAGCTTGCGGAGATCTACGAGATCTTGAACGAGCCCAGAAAGGCTCTAGATCTAGTCATGCAAGGCATGTCCTGACCCAGGGTGTGCTCCGTGAAGGTCGACTGACAATCGCGCTCCAGTCATCGAGTCGCGAAAGAAGCGCGCTGCGCATCGCGAAGGCACCACAGACTCCGGTGGCGGTGAACCCGGCTCAGCGTCCCTCTTCGAGGAGGGCAAAGTGCGCGGAGCAAAGGCGAAGGGCACGCCTGCGAAGACGAACCCCAACAAGCTCACTGTCGCCCAGCTGCGCGAACTTGAGGCGCAGAAGGAGCGCGAAGCGGTGCAGTCGTGGCGTCGCGTGCAGGAGCTCTGGCCGCGCATGCTCGCAGACGAGGAGGAGGCGACGAGGGAGTGGCTCGTCGAGGCTGAGAAGCTTGTCGAGTCTTTCCGGGAGACCAGGGCGTTGTTCTTGACGAGCAGGGTGAGAGGTTTGGTTGCTTCGCGTGGCGCTATATTGACAGGATGCGCGTTAGCATCGCGGATTCAGGGGCATGTTCCCGAGGAGCGCGCGGAAGCAAACCACGGAAGCTAGCGAGGACAACATGGCGTCGCGCTTGCAACTTGAGTTGGGTAAGCGCGGTTTGCTTTGTGTAGCTGTCCTAGACTGGACAGTCATTTTGATCCACCAGGTCGAGATACGTTAGCACGGAAGGGTCCTAAGACAGAAAACGTCAACATGTTCCGGACTATCCTGTTCGACGATTGGATGCGGCTGTTCATGCACGTTGAGTCTGTCCCGTATACTCTTTGAAACACCTACTGACCAAGTGTCGACGCGCAACAGTACTCATTTCTGCTGACTAGGCGCGGACAGTACGAGCTGGCGAACGAGGTCCTCCGTCACCTCCTGTACTCCAACGCCTTCCAGTCTCGCTCGTCGCAAGACTCCATCCGTCTCGCTCTCATCAGTCCGTATCCCCAGCTGTGCTCTCGTGCGCCAGTCTCTGACGTTTCGCGTAGCGTGCGCGATCCATGCAGACCAGTTCCAGACGGTCGTCGAACAGGCTCGGAAGCTGATCAACGGCCACCAGTTCAAAAACGAGCCCATCCGCATCCTGGTATCGTCCCTCGGCAGCGGGCTCCGAGCCACGGATGCCTTCCTTGTGTCGACCCTCTCAAAACACCTGCTGCGGGAAACGCGCTTGGCAGATGCCGCCGTCAGGGACCCAGAGTTACTGCGTTACAATACAGCGCAGCGGCGATACGGGCTGGTCGGCTCGTCGAGCAAGGGTGATGCCGACGACGTTCCGGACGATGACGATGAGGTAGAGGCACCAGCGATCACGGAGCTCGAACGGGCAAAGTTGCCTACAAAACCAAATCCTTTGAACGTCGCAGTGTATGGACAGATCCTACTCGCAGCCAAGAGTTATCAGAGCGCCCTGTGTGGGTGGCGGATTCCTTGCCATTGATGACGTCGCTCACGTTGTACGCAGTCTACCTGCTGCAGGCTTATGACTACGCACCAGAGGACCCCCTCGTCTGCCTCTGCCTCGCTATTGCATCGATTGGTCGAGCTATGCAACGCCAATCTGACAACCGGCATCACCTCATCACACAGGTAGCTCCACGGGTTTCATATGTATCTAGTGACTGACTTGTTCACCCTAGGCAATGGCGTTCCTCACTCGATATCGTGAGCTGCGTGGAGACGCAGCACAAGCAGTCGATGAGGTCGAGTACAACTTCGGTCGCGTCTTCCACCAGCTAGGTGAGTGTACCCATCCGTAGTTGGATGAATCTCACCAGTTGGTCCAGGGCTGCACTCGCTCGCCGTTCGTCATTACGAACGTGTCCTACAGGCAGCGGAGGCGAGGATGAAGTTCAGCGAAGATGTGAGTAGCTTCTCGGCGAGGACTGTCGTATGCTCACCAACCAACCTTGCCAGGATGTCGGGCTGGCACGTGAAGCAGCATATAATCTATCTCTCATCTATGTCAGCACGGGTGCGGCACCGCTTGCGCAAGCACTCTATCGGAGGTGGCTCTCTCTGTAGCAGGATATGCGCAGTCTAGGCGGCGGTTGGTGTGTATCCATGTATCGATATTCTCTTTCTCGTAACAACAGGGCTCATCTGGCTTTCACCGCGTCTGCGTAGCTGTGTACCTTTGACCATAGGTGGCACGCGTCGGAAATTCCAGCTATCCTGTACATCAACGTCATGCGAAGCAAAAACGAGGGCCCAACCGGGAATTGAACCCGGGACCTCGCGCACGCTCGAAACACCGCCCGAAGCGCGAATCATACGACTAGACCATTGGGCCGTGTGCAGGGGATGATATCTTCTGTTGTTGATATGATTGCACGGGTGACAGGCATCGCATTTAACACACAGTAACTTACACGGAGCCAGGCACAGCGTATACATCGCGGCTACAGTGTTGAAAGTCTAAGGAATGGTGGGGGGCGCCTTGAATGCAGGTTAAAGATCAGGAAGAGTCTGCCACAGCGGAGACGGGGGAAGAACGAGTGCAGCGGAAACCACCACTTGCCGCGCTCTAGACAGTTGGTTGCTCCCTGACGATGTACGCGTCAACCATCTAATGCCATGCGTCGCAAAATCACCGTCGTATGAAGGAAACGTACCTCTCAGATAGTAATAGTCAGAGTGGTCATGGGAAATTCGGTGGCGGTGGGCACATCAGTCGGCTCCGTGGGTACCTCGGTGGGTTCAGCAGCCACATCAGTAGTCTCGGTCAGGACTTCGGATGTCTCAGCAGGCACCTCCGTAGTTTCCGTCGGGGCTGCAGTCGGCTCCGCTGGAAACTCAGTTGTTTCGGTGAGAACCTCGGTGCTCTCTGACGAGGTCTCAGAGTTGGGAGAAGGAACATCGGTGGTAGTGGGGACGTCGGTCGGAGTAGGGATGTCGGCGGTCAAGGTGGGTGTGTCGGTGGGTGCAATAGTGTCGGTGGGCGCAACAGTGTCAGTGGGCGTGGAGGTGTCTGTTGCGGTGTCTGAAGGAACGGCGGTGTTGGTAGGCACAGCAGTGTCGGTAGGCGCAGCAGTGTCAGTGGGCGCAGCAGTGTCTGTCGGGGCAGCAGTGTCTGTAGGAGCAATGGTGTCCGTGGGAGCAGTGGTGTCCATGGGAGTAGCAGTGTCCGTAGGCATAGATGAATCAGTATCGGTAGGGGTCGCAGTATCGGTAGGGGTAGGTGTGTCGGTGGGAGTGGGAGTGTTGGTAGGAGTGTCGGTCGGAGCAGCTGTCTCTGAGGTGGTGATGGTGTCCGTGGGGGTAGCAGTGTCCGTTGGCGTAGCAGTGTCGGTACCCAGGGGAGTGGCAGTGTCAGTACCCAGGGGAGTGGCAGTGTCAGTGGGGGCTATAGTGTCGGTGGGTGCAGCAGTATCGGTGGGAGCGGTGGTGTCTGTCGGAGTGGGCGTGTCGGTCGAAGTGGGAGCAGGCAGGTCACTGGTCTCCGTAGGCAGGTCCGTCATCTCAGTAGGGACATCCGTGCTCTGTGTCGGCTCGTTGCTGGTCTCGGTAGCGCTCTTCGTTGTCTGAGTCGGGGGCTCAGTGGTCTCAGACGGAACGTCCGTTGTTTGAGTAGGAACATCGGTAGTCTCAGTGGGCACGTCAGTAGTCTCAGTGGGCACATCGGTAGTCTCAGTGGGCACGTCAGTAGTGGTCGTAGGGAGATCACTGGTGGTGGTGGGCTCGTTGGTCGGGGTGGCAGACACGTTGACAGTGGAAGTGGGGCTGTCCGAAGATGATTCCGAAGGGACAGATGATGTCGAGGTCAGCCCAACGCTTGCGCTAGGCGTCTCCATCTGAGAGTTGGCAGGCGGGAAAGGGAAACCAGAAGGGAAGGGAGGGAACGGGGAGCTGGTGGGGTTACCATCGAACAGGAAGCCGGATGCAAATGCGATATCGCAGAAGACACCCAGCCTAGGAGACAGATGAACACTGCCATGGGTCCCGGAGGGTGCCGGGCGAGGCAGGAAGGGGAAAGGGATGGGTGGATAGGTGTTATTGTATGGTGTACCAATAGGAACCGCCATTGTGGCCGAGATGCTAGTAATGGCGAGAGCGACCAAGACGATGAGCTGCATGGTGTCTTCAGACGCAGGAGGGGACGATGTAAGAACCCGCGCCTAAGGGCGCGAGGAGGTGTTCGGCCTCTGGCCGTATTCCGCGCATCTAAGCGCCCATAGATTAGATAACCTGTAATCTACATCTATGCGTACGGTGCCCCAAGGTTCGGGACTTGGGCACCTGGTGGGGGCAGACTTTCTGCACATCCCCACCATCCTTACGAGTACGCCGAGCCAATACAGCCCGGTCCAGAGTACTCCTAGGAACGGGGTAGCAGAGTCTCTTCGTCACTTTTACACTTTTTTACTCTTACCGCGAAGCTACATCAGTACATAGCCATATTTGGCTCGACGTTGCCACGTCATCACTCGACAGAACTCTATTAGAGTTTTCGTCCACCATGACCTCCCCCCGTTCATCTCGAAGCCCGAGCCATCGTGCTCCTCCTAATCCACCGGGGTATTATCCCCCTGCTCTCGACACAGAGGGAACCAGCTCGTACAGGATCGACCCTCTAGGTCGTGAGGTACGAAGCGGGCTAAGCCCGCGCGACTCGTCGTCGCATCCCCATGGTAACCCCACTCCCCCAACTCGTTCTCGC